TTTTAATTGGTTATCTGCAGTCTCTGAATTTGTGCAGCATTCGACACAGACGTCATGCAAAACAATCCTGATTACTTAATGAAAACTGGGTCACTACTAATCAGCAGTCACACGAAGATAAGATGATTATGAATGAGGTTCAAATCAGATTCGAAGGGAACAAAAACACAACGTCTTTTACTTCAAAGCTGATCGAGCCTTCAAGTAAATAAAAAAGTCAGACTGTTACGTTGTGGCTTCCAGAGAGCCAGACCCCCTCTGCCAGCTCTTTAGTTCTGTCTGACAGCTTCCATTCTGCTCGGTAACGGAAATCACCACCTTCCTCGCCTGAATCCACCAGCTCCACTCTCAGAAACATTTCTCTCTCTAAGATCATGGAAGCCAGCAACAAATCTGAGGCTTGTCTCGCTCGTGGTAATCCAGGCGAGGAACGAGAGATTCCTTGACGAGGAGGTGGGCAACTTTTAACCCCTCTGATGCTGACGTCCTCTTTACGTCTCAGCAATGAGAYATCTTTGTCATCAGAGCAGGATGAACTTGAAGAGCTCTGATTGGATGAGTCAGAGCTTATGGATGACTGCGTGTCCTCTGATTGATTGAGATCCACCTGGTAGACTAACTTTCTGTTAGYTTGTCTGCTGACGGACAACCATCGCAGGGAAAGACATCTCGTCATGGCCAGCCACAACTCTTGAGGTCTGAATAAACTTGGCCTGGGCCGATTTGTGTCACAGCTTCTTGTCAGTTCTGACTCCACCACGTCTGAGACTGAAACACCACAGGAGTTCTTTGGTTCTTCTTCTCYTCCCTCGTTTTGGGAGTTTATGTGCCGGTCCTCCTCAAAGCTAAAAGAGCCGCTGAACTTCTGACTCCTCTTCATGGCACKATCTGCTTCCACGTCTGAAGCAGACGATGAATCCTCATCCGGTGAAAACTGATCATCTGAATCCGTTGACCATGGTTGTTGGTGCTCTTCAGATTCAGAGGAGCTTGCCCTGTGACCTCTCCTCATACTTCACCAGTTCCTCTTATTCCTTTATTCTGTCAGCTGCTCCTCGCTGTTCTTGTCTTGGTTTGACCCCAGTARATAAAAACCAAATGATGTCATCGATGCTATCAGAGGAACAGCAGCTACAGCCGCTCTGCTAACATGGCGCTTCCTTACATAGTCTCTGCTTCAAGAGGCACAGCTTTGGAGTTGGGCAGCAATGACACTGTGATGTCACGTGCACACACACACACACAAACCCCAGCCTGGCTATGTGTTCACACTCCAGTTGAGTGAGCAGTGACTTGCCTTGAAGGGAAGTGATGCCACATTGCATGATGTCATACCTAGCTGCAAACTATAACTCTGCAAACACTCAGTGTTTGTGCAGGAACCCAGATGGCAAACAAATAAAGCTCAAAAACTGAGCCAACAAGAGCTTGTTTGGACGATTTAAATCTTCTACGCATTAGAATTTGTTTTGTTGCTGTGGGTAATTATAAGAAATTACACACTCAGTGTGAACAAAACGTTTGTTTAAATTCACTAGAAGAAGATGGAGGACGATTAACCATGAAAAACCTGTATTAGGCTGCTCCTATTCTGTAGATTAAYAAATGCAGAAAAAAATTGAACAAGTGGAGAGAAACAAAACATAAGAGATGATGTGCTGCTAAATGTGTAAAACAGAAACATTATGACAACTGTTACTTTTAATTATAAATAATACTAGAGATATTGCATTTCCTGCAAAAATGCCATGTGATTGCTTATTGTTGAATACTTTTGTTGAAAGATGCTAAAGAAGCCGAAATACTTTTAAACACTGTACTAGTACACTGTATTGCTTGTTGAATTTTAACAATTGAGGTAAAACTCAAAAGTAGCTAAATGATGGCTGAAGAACCCAATTTGTGAAAACAAAAGTTTCAAGGTGCAGAGAACAGCTGAAAAATACAGAAATATGCAGAAAACAAATAGAGCTGAAAAAAATGAAGAGGGAAAAAAGGAAGTGAAAGAAACTAAATAAAAACTTAAAGTAGCAAAAGAATATCAGAAAGGGTCAGACTGATAATATAGAAAAAAGCTAAAATCAGGCAAATTTAAGAGAGAAAAACAGGGGCGGCTGTGGCTGAGTGGTTAGTGGAGTCGTCTTCCAATGCAAGAGTTGACAGTTCAATTCCACTGCTATTCAGCCATATGTTGAAGTGTCCTTGAACAAGACACACTGCCTCTGATGTGCGTCTCATCAGTACGAACATGATCTAAAGCTCTGATTAGTCTCTATAAAATATTTATGTAGATTAGCTTTGTAAAGAGATGTAGCAGAGTGCTGTATGGATGGGTAAATGAGGGCACAGATTGTAAAAAGCATTGAGTACCCTGGTTGGATAGAAAGGTGCTATATAAGTACAGTCCATTTACAAAAATAGAAACTGAAAGAAGCTGAAATTAACACAAAGAAGCTAAAGACAGCCCCATTCATTTTAATTGAGAACAAAAATGGTTAAAAAATAAATTAAAAAAAGCTAACTAGTTGAAAAAGTATAAATTGCTGAAGTAGCAAAAGTGATAGCTGGAATGTCCTGAAGGAGCTGAACGTTTTGAGATATAAATTGTTGAATTAAGACAAAAATTACGTAAAGAGATATGTGCTAAAAATTGTAGAGATAAAAAATCTCAGTGTGAATGCTTGAAAATTTTACCCAGGTGGAGCAGCAGGCAGCTGTGTGAACAYCTGCAGAGCAGTCAGGGAAAAGGTKRTCAAGAACACCACGACATGTAGGCATGGCAGAAAAAATAATACTTTCTGGTTCTCTTACCACTGTGCCACTGTCWCAAAAGAAAAATACTATACCCTGTTTACCATTTTAATTTAATTCTTTAACTCAACACCACACAACTCTTCCTAAAGTGTTTTCACAGCTAAATTTGCTTACAAACCAATGGTAGTCAATATAAGCCAACACAACAATAATATCGCAATAATTTTACCAGTTATTTGAATTAAATTTGGATGTGATAGAAGCTGAAAATCATCAACAACACAAACTCCAAATGCAACATAAGAGTGCACATGGCATTATTTTCAATGTTCAACCAAAGCTATGATGATCATTCCTCAGCATAGATTAGTTTCAAACTCTGCGGGCGATTTGCATTCCTTAGAGGAGAACTTGTGGAGTCAGAAAGAACAAACTAATCAGATGAACTTGCTTTCCTGAACTGTAAGCAATGGGKTTTTTTTTTATCTGAACTCAGACTGTATTAAATCTGATCGGTGGCTCAGAGCCCACCACCGGCTGTGATGTAACAGAGAGATACAGGAGAGCACATGTGAGTGTAGCAGTCTGCTCATCCAGCACAGTTCTGGGTCAAGAGTGGAGTTATCTTTTTTTCCATTTATGGCTTTATAGTGGCAGCTCGTGTTTCTGCACCGAGCCGCTGAACGGTTGCATCATGTCGGGCCAAAGGACGGCCGCCTGGATCGACTCCATGCTGGCTGACCTTATCGCACAGAGATGCAGACTTGTTCCAGCTGATAAGGAGGAAAACTCTGCACGTCTTTGAGGAATGAGAATACTTACACCTCAGTAGAACTATATACTATTTATCATATAGTAAAGCTTACATTTTCAACTGCCTTCCTTTATGAACTAATACTTTTTTTTCAATGCGATTCAATTTTAAAAACTGAACATTCAAGCTTTAGAATTTGCATGCTCTGATATGTTTTTAAACCCTCCCACGTCAACACGGAAGGTCATTTGTTTGTACAAAATGTCAAGTTCTTCTCCCCAACATAGTAAACAAATGTGCAGGCCACTCTTTGAACCCACCTCTCTCTGTTTGTGTGAACTGGGTCGTAGTAAGTCTTTTTTCGGAATCAGCAAATCGATCATTAACCCAAAGTTTGAACTAAATCAAATCATGMTGCCAACTTTTCCACGAGTTTCTCAACATTCCTGAATGAATCAAGTCAACAGACCCAATCTCCACACAGTTAACGGACAGGAAGCTGCTGAAAACTAATGCAAATTAAGGAASCATGAATTTTATTCTGCTACTATTAACTGCGATTGTTCGGTTTCATCCAAATCACTGCAGCCTAACCAAGATGAGCGCAGAAGTACAGACACTGCCTCAGCTCTAAATTGTCCCCATGGCAAATAAATAAGCTTGGCTGAACAGCATTCTTAAGCATGAAGCTGCAGTTCTCCTCACATTTCCTGCCTCCATCACAATGCAGCACTRTTGAATAATAAATCATAAAAGAGGAGCTGCTGGGGGGGATGTGATGAAGCAGAATAAATACTGAGATATTCACTCTCAAAGATAAAAGCTTTAACCAGTTAGGAAAAATAAACTAATATTAGCTTTTAGGTTGCACGAAAGGGTTTTCGTAGAACAAGAGGCATTTAACATGACTAAATAACTTATTTCACTTACATCCCATTAAAGTTTGATTAGTTGTGTCACCCCAGCTCTGTGACCATTTCCAGGCAAACAATTCATCTACTTTGCCTTCATTTTAACCTAATTGTTTTTGACTATATTGACATTTTAAAAGACTGATTTGGAAAAAGTATGCTTTCGCCTTAAACAAGCACTAATAGTGTGGAAAAGTAGAAGAGAGAGTCAAAGCTGCTGATATGTAAAATTCATAAAAGCTTGAAGCAGCAGAAACCAGGTGAGGCAGAAAGCTCTTCTGCTACTCACAGCTATTTCTGGGCTGCATTCCTATTAATTATTAACAAAAAGCTAAGGAAAAAAACCGAAAACAAGCCTCTTACCGCAGCYCTTGTTGCTGAAATGTCAAATTCATTAGGTTCAGGTGTGTAAACTTGCCCTCAGCTGCGTGCAGCACAGCCGACGCTGGAGGGCGCTGTTGGCTCCACACGGTTCAGCCMGCAGATTAGTTTCAACAATGTGACACGAGTTTCAATTGGTTGAAGCAGGGCAGCGAGAATGATAAACTGACTGTCATTGGTCGGCTCTGAGTGGGCGGAGCTTAGCGCGGGCGCTTCATTGRTATACCCTACAGCTGGCGGAGACAGATTAGCCATAAGTGAACGGCATGAAGAAAGTGAAGAAGGCTCGATGTCGAGGGTTTTAAAGAAGGCAAGAGTATAGTTTAAATATTTTTAAGAGTCAGTGGCACACCAAAGACTTTACTTACAGCCAAAATGCTCTGCCACGTTACTCGTCCGGATTCGGTGGTGATGGAAGTGGAAGTTGATGCGAAGGCGAACGGTGAAGATTGTCTGAATAAGGTAGGCTGTGTTCGGTGAAAACACACGAAAAGTTCACTCATTATCTTATATTTAGGTGGTATATRTTATTGTAAAAGAACGTCACGGGTTAGCAAGGCGGAGCAGCTTCTATTGTGTTATAAAACTTCAAATATCTTTGTGTTAAACTTGCTTTATTTATGAGTTAAACTAAGCACATTTTTCCGTCTAAATTATAACAAATTCTGAATTAGCGTATTTTAATTAAGCGTCTTTATGAAACTGTTCTGGTCCACATGTTGTACACAAAGAGGAAATGATGTTTTCTATGCGCCATAAACAAAAACAAAACATTTTATTTAATTATTAAACATCAAACTCTCATTTTCTTATAGTTAAAACATGATTTATTTGTTGTATTAGTTTTAAAGCATGATGGGAAGGTTCCGCCTCTTGCTGCACACACTTGTCAGGCAGATGGCTTTGTCTGAGGTTACTAGAGTTCACTTCTTTGCATTTGCTTTCTGTCTCCACTGAAACTGAGACTTGAGTCTGAAGCAGCTTTATGACATGCACACGTCCTTTCTGTTTTTAAAGCAGGAAATGAATTTAAAGGAGACTTTTCCATTAGAAACCTCAGTTTTCTTGCCAATAAAATGCAACAGTTGTTCTGTTTTGTGTGCGTGCCTTGTTCACAACTTGTTGCAAGTCAAAAATAAGTTTTTATCTCAGCCTAGATCATATCAGCAGTTGTGTAACACCAGCTGGTGATCCAGGTTTGCTTCCAAAAAAAAAATAAAACATCTGCTTCCAAGTGACTTTCAAATGAAATAAGAGTCATCTCTAACTTCTCTGGCTGATTTCTCTCGCCTTCCCTCCAGGTTTGCAGAAAGTTGGGCATTATTGAGGTGGACTACTTCGGGCTGCAGTTCACGGGCAGCAAGGGGGAGAACCTGTGGCTGAATCTGAGGAATCGCATCTGCCAGCAGATGGATAACGTGACGCCCTGTCGACTCAGGCTGCGGGTCAAGTTTTTCGTTGAGCCCCATCTCATTCTGCAGGAACAGACGAGGTACCRGCTTCGTTGACAGTTCTTTGTCCGTCCGTCACCGTATTACTACGCTGCAAACTAAGGTCAAATCAAAACTTGGCTTCCTGTACAGAAACCGTTCATCTTTCACATCCTCGGCTAAAAAGATCGTTGTTGAAATGTGTATCCTTCCTTTGTTTGATCATGGTGACGTAATTTATCGCCATGCTTGCAGGGAAGTCTTCAAAAATTGGATTTAATCGACCATTCTGTTACAAACGCTCCGTATAAAACTCACCACTGTAATGCCCATTGGCTCTTGTTCATTTACAAAACCATGCTAGGTCTTTCACCTCTCATTTAAATCAATTACTACAACAAGAACCCCCCTCAAGGTACAACACTGGTTCCTCCCACCTTATTAGATAGAAAATTCCAAAAACCAAGTCTTCCTTTGGCCTCATGTCTTTCTGCTTTGCTGCAGCAAATGATTGGAACGTCTATCAAAATAAACTACATTTTGGCACTTTGCTTTTAAACACAGACTAAAGGATCTTTTTAAGGAGTTTTAAAGTTTTAAAGAATGAATGCACTGCTCATTTTATATGTTTTATGTAYTGTTTATGTTCCGATGCATCTCAGTAATCCAGGTAAAAAATCAAAAAGAAAAAATTGTATAGGTCCTCTGGACGGGTTCTTCTTTAATGAAACGTTTCGTCTCTYCTCCAAGAGACTTCTTCAGTCTGAGAGTTTCAGGCAAAATTCAGGCTTTTAAGCMCTGCCTCCATGTGACTGATACTCACATCACATGGCTATCGTTGACACCTAATTAACACCTATTAACAGGGGGTGGAGTGATACTGGCAATAGCAGCACTGTAGGATGGGGGACAACTGAAAACGGAGGCCTCCACCTCTGTTTAATGATGGACGGTCTTTCTTCACAAAAATGGCTTCTTTTACTCCTCTCTCAAACCAACGTTCCTCTCTATCAAGAATGAGAACATCCTCATCTCTGAAAGAGTGACCGCTGGCCTGTAAATGAGTGAAAACTGCAGAGTTCTGGCCTTTAGATGTAGCTCGTCTGTGTTGGGACATTCTTTTGAACAGTGGYTGCTTTGTTTCCCCGATGTATAACTGGTCGCAGTCCTCCTGGCACTTAACAGCATATACAACACTGCTCTGTTTGTGCCGGGGCACCGGATCTTTGGGGTGAACCAGCCTTTGCCGTAATGTGTTTTGGGGTTTGAAAGCCACTGGGACATCATGTTTAGAAACAATATTAACAATAGGAGTTAATTAGGTGTCAACGATAGCCATGTGATGTGAGTATCAGTCACATGGAGGCAGGGCTTAAAAGCCTGAATTTTGCCTGAAACTCTCAGACTGAAGAAGTCTCTAGGAGGAGAGACGAAACGTTTCAGAGGAGAACCCGTCCAGAAGACCTATACAATTTTTTTTCTTTTTTAATGTTTACGTTGTTTCCCCTTCCCCATCTTCCCATTTTTAAGTGTTTTTAAGTGTGTTTTGCACTCTCAGGTCAACGTTGTAAATAAGAAACTGTTCTTAATGTTTTGCCAGTTGAAATGAAGGTTAAATAAAATAAATTTATTGCACCCTTAAATTCACACAACAGTTATTATTGAGCAGTTAATCTGGGATGTAGGACTTGAACTTTAAAACTTAATTTGGAAATGCAGTTTAGTTTTTTGCTACTTTATGGCTGACAGACCGARCTGTAAAACAGTTTAAAATCAAACTTGTTTTATAACTCATAGGAGGTTGGAATAAAGTTTACAGTATGTTTCCACCTGACCAGTTTTCTTTTATTTTAAAACATTTTACCCAACAACTGAAAATAGCTAAAAGTGTTTTTAATATTTTTTGTTTAAACCATAAAAGTCACAGCAACAGTTCAAATCAGGCTAATTTGCTCCGGTGCTACAAAACATTAGCATTTGATCTGAGTCAGATTTTTGTGATGCTTTCTCCATTTAAATTAGCACTTTTTAAATCTTGTTTTTATATTTAAATAAAARTGATRTGGCTTGTAATGTTGGTAGCTTGTGTCGTCTGAGAGAAACCAAGAAAACAATCCCATCATCGGGGATCAACCGGCCCAAAACCTGATCACTTTGTTTCCAGTGCGGTGGAAATGCCCTTTAGTAACCTCTTTGTCGAGCTCGTCTGGGTTTACTATAGGTCATATTGGTTGAGCACTCGGCTGGAAATGTGATCCAGCAGCTCTGGAGTGATGTTGCTTTCAGCCATCACTCATCAACTCCAACCCCTCCCTCCTATTTCCCCCAGAGACCCCTCTGGTCAGGACCCCTGTCACTGCTCCCATTCAACTAACTTTTTTTTTGTTGTTTGTTTTGTTTGAGGCTATTTTCATTTGAAACTAAATCCGTTTTGTTTTTTGCAGATAACCACKTTAGTTTATTTATTTTATTTTCTGCTTTAACAGGAAATGCAGTAACCTACAGTTGTGTCACAGACATTTGTAACAGTTTCTGCAAGTTGCCACTGAAGCCCTAAAAGATTTTAAATTTTAGAACCAGACAGGAAACAAACAGGTTTTCACTGGCAGCGCGTTTTTTTGTTCACAGCTGCTGTTTCATATTGCAGATCAAGGGGACACTAAAGAGGAAGTCTGTTTTATGTATGTGCAGCACGTCACCAGAGCAGTTAATTAATCASAAACGTAGCTGCTAACACCAAGATGCTCCGAGTTAATCCCCTGCTTTTATCTCTTCTCTTTTTTTATTTTGTTTTTTATTTATTTCTTCTTTTTTAACCTCACCCTTTTGCTTTTTGTCACAGCACGACACCTCTTGCTGTTTGCGGTCGCATTTTTGTCCCGGTTTGAAACCGTCCTCTTCTACGTCTCAACCGCTTTTTTTTTTTTCCCTTTTCCACACTGGCCCACATTTGGCCACATTTGAAGTGGAAAGTGAAACCAAGAGGAGCATAAAGGGCGCTTGGCTGCCTGTGCTCTGACCTCTAGATTAGAGAGGGTTATCTGGTGTTGGCTGAAGGGGGGGTGAGTTGTGAAAAAGATGTGAGATGGCAGAAGCGTAGAGCTGCTTTTAGTAAATACACACGCTGAAACCAGCAGCTTGTTTAATTTTGATGAAGTGGGAGGTCTAACACTGGCATATGTTTGGAGCTGAGGGATTTTATGAACCAGCAAGCTGGTCCGGGAGGTTTCTGCGTTGATTCTCAAAAGTTGGACAGCTGGGTTGGTGCTTTGTTTTGATCCAAACACACTAAGACTGACAAAACTAAAGACAACACACTAATTACTCCCTCACAATAACAAATGCTGTATATATTTGTTAATTAAAACTACACAACAGTTCTACCTCAGTTTTTTTTTTCATATATTGATAATTTGAGTCCGCTTCATTTCTGTGCCGTCACCTTTCACCCAGTTCAGCTCCCCACATTCAGGTGTCACAGCAGACGTGACTCATGGTGACGAACTGCTCTCCCGGTGTACTTTAACCTGCCTAAAGGCCGTTTTACCACGCGGGGGGGTTGTCGTCGTTTAAAGGAAAATGCTTCCCGACTGTGCGTGAGCTGCAGCGGTTTTCTAAACAAAGCGTGTTGGGTACGGTGCCACGACGTAGAGGAGAGCCGAGCGGYGGGCACCCATCTCTACGGCCTTTCTGTAGGCCTTTATTACGTAACCCACTGAGCTGCTTATATAAGCTGCTGTGTACTCTGCTGCCACAGGAAGCCTCACAGGTCACTTCATTTATCTGCCCATAGTTTACTCTTTTAATTATATTTATTTGTAACAGCCTGATTAAAAGCATGTACTTGAATCAAAGAAAACGTTTCTAGTTAAAGCTGTACATTATGGTGTGTTTTTACTTATAAAACCAGATATTTTTCTCCCTAATGCTCGAGGTCTCTTAAAGCTGCGAGGCTTCGATTCAGCTGATTTCATGCTTCCAGATATTTTTTTTCCCCTCATTGCTTTTCAATTTTATTTTTTAAATTTCTTCCAGGTGTAATTTTTAAATCTTTATCTTCTCTGCTATCTTAAAATGCCCCCCAGCTTCTCTCYGTTTCTTCTTTGAAGGCATCACGCTGCTTTGAAGCTGCCGAATGAAGCAGCGACTGCAGCAGGGCTGTTGGGACATTCAGAGTTTGAGATGTCTTTATGCAAAAATTCCTTTTTTTTTTTTTTTTGGCAAAAACCTACAAAACGGTAGTTTATTATGAAATGTCTGATAAATCAGCTTATCTGGGCTTGACTCCAAGGATAACGTTGATGTTGGTTAAGGGACACCAACCTAAGAGCCTGAACAGCCCGTATTATCTGCATCATTAAACAGCACTTGCTAGAGAGMGTTTAGGTTTAAACTTGTGAATTATTTTCCATTCATTAGAGGTCTTGTTTAGCATTCTGATCAGGCAATCACAGGACACCCAGGGAGGGAAGTATAATTGCTGCTGCCAACAACTGTTAACCTGTCTGCAGCTTCAATCCAAATAAAGATTTTAATCTTTTTTTGGTCAAACAGTTTGGAGAATGACTAATGGTGACAAAAGGAAAGATAAAGCAGTTTTGGGTAAAGGTAAAAACGATTGCATGTGAAAACTATTCAGTTTAAACTCGTTTCGTGACAGCGTCCCCCCCTCTTAAATAACCTCAGGCTCTCTGGAGACGACTTTACCAGCTGATCTGGAGACAAAATCAGTTAAAAGTAAATGTTTTTCTTTGTGTGCGTGCCGCCCTGCCAGACCACTCCTCTGTGCTGAAGATCTCCTTGCATTGTGGGACATGCTCCAACCGGCTAATGAGTTTGTCCAAAACTACATRTGAAGCAGCACCGATGTGCAAATGGAGCCTTAATTGCTCCAGAGATAATAGCAGATAATTCAGGAACTAAATAATACGTTTGATTTTCTACACAGTAATGCTTTCAGAGAGCTTTACAGAATTCCTGCACGACTTCTTCTTTTGCATGTTCTGCAAAAACGGTTTCAGGTAATATATTCAGGTCAGACACACKTCTTTGTCCGCAGGTCACACAGGCGACAAAGATCTAAAAAATTCCCGCGGGTCTAGAAATGTTCAAACACAAGTTCTTAACATTTACTTAGCTTTTAAATTCGCTGAACTTCCTCTACGTGCGCTTCAGCAGACTGCTTAACCTTTGTCCCAGAAAGAAAGCTGCTCTATTTATTCAGCGCCTGAATTGAAGAGTTGGCTATAATTGCTGTTTTACTAGCCTGCGACCAGCGGAGTTTAGCGCACAATCTGCCTCTTTGTTTTATCGCTGTGTAGCTTTCAGTTCAGCTCGTCACGGAGCAAAAGGACACGTTGCACTCGGTGCCTGGAATTAATGCGTTGCCACTTTGTTACAAGGTGCAGTTACAAGTTGTTGTTTTGGTTTTTTTTTTTCGTTCCGCCCACGATTTGCAAGAAGATGTTGAGCAAAGGTAACTCCAGGTCATTGACAGAGAGTAACCTCGCAGCACATAGCTTGTGGCAGCGTGTTATTTGACTAAAACCGCATTGTTGGGAGTCCAACCAGCGAGGCCTGAAACTCTGCTGCTGATTGGCTGCGTTTGGTGCGATCTCGAAGCAGTGGTGTTGAGTTTCAGTTTGTGGGGATGTTTTGTTTCTCCTCTGTGTTGTGAACCTGCTGACTTTGTTGCAGTGGCAAACCGTTAAAATGAAACTTGTGTAGAAAGAAGAACCAGACTGCACAGAGTTGATTTGACTTTCTAATGAGCCTTTTTTGTTTTTTTTTACTCTGCAAGAACAGAGTTCTGCCCACAAAACTTGGAGACATTTTAACACAAGGCTGCCAAAAACATAAAGGCTCCACTTCAGATACTTTCCACACAATTAAGACTGAGAATAAAATAAAAATTAGGTTGTGTGTTTTGTTTATCTTCTTTCTTTACAACTCTTTTGAACACATGCACATCCCAGTCTTATGACTTGAAGTGATAAGCTTGATTACGGGACATCTCTTTAAAAGATAAAGCGATGTAAACTGTAATACAGTGAAATTAGGCCACAAGGCTTTAGTCTCAACACACACTTCCTGGAATTTACTTTATTGCTGTGTTGGTGCGAGATGAAAAGAACAAAACAAAGCTGTGGTAATATCCTGGAAGCACTAAACACATGCAAATGTTCATCTAAGGTTTTTTTTTATGCAGTGAATCAAAACAGGCATGCAGAAAAGAGATTTGGAACAAAATGCTTTGTATTTGCTCAGGATATATTTAGTTTTAATATAACAAAGTTTATGTCAGCAAACATGTTTGGAGACAGTTGTTTCTCTGAGTGCAGGGTGGACTCTGACAGGTGCTGAGGCAGCACTTTCTCTGCATCCTGATTCTGTCAAGCGTCGATGTTTAATGYATCCGTCTAACTGGAAAGGAAAACKTTGCTAAAGTTTGCATAAYWACWWSATGWTTGTGMYTTTTTCCCCTTCTTGTTTTTATCACAACATGTTTGGTGCAGGGAGGGGTGTTTTTATGGTGCATACCTCGATGACATAATCTGAGTTTAGGTGGCAGAACTTGTTGACTTCTGTGTGTGAAGCCTCCGGTGTCTTGAATATTTGATAGCTCTGMGCCGTTTTGTCTGAGAAGTCGAGCAGAAAGTGGCTATCAGTGATCTGTAGTTATCTCTGATCCGGGACATGCTGACCTGCTGTACACCTCTTATTAGGGGTGGGAATCTTTTACTCTCTCATGATTCGATTCAGATTTTTGGGGTCAYGATTCGATTCAAAATCAATTTTTCACTCAAAACTCAATGTGAGCCCATTTGTTGTGTTCCTAAAGTTCTTCATTTTGCAAATTTTGCACACAGTGAAGCTCATGTCAAACTCACACTCAATTMAGTAAAAAACAAAATGAGCCCAAATGTTTGCATTCAGTAAAGACAGGGTCAGTTGAATCTCTTTCCTCCAGTTTTGTAGTTTCCTCTTTGTTTTGGTGCTTTCTGTGCATGCATACACTCCAGAACTAGCTCCATGTGACGTCAGGACGTCCCAAGTTGTTACAAAATGACAACCTTTGGATTTTCCTTTTTATTTTTTATTTAAATTGATTTTTGGATATTTTAAATAGAGTCTGAATCTTTGTAAATGAGAATCATGATTCTAATAAACTATTTTTGGTGCACCTCTACCTCTTATGTTTTCCCTTTTTTAAAATGTTTCCAAAATTTATCCACAGTTTGTTAAAGAATGAACAGAATAATATTTGACCAACATTAAACTCAACTTTAGACCAGCAGATCAGTTTTGTGTTTGATTAGGAGGCTTTGATTAGATTAAAAGTAGACGTGTATATAATAAGTGAACTAGAGTAACCTCTGTGGATTGCCCGTTGGTAACCTTTCACTAACGACCTGTAGTAAACTCAGGTTGGCCCTATTGTTTTGCGTCAGGCAGGTAGCTAACCAGCAGCTCTCCCGTCACATGACGCCTGCTGGGCCTGACACAATAGAGCTCAGTGTTTGTGTGTGCGTTGGAGGGAATGGGATGTTTAACACCATATCAAAGGCCTGTTTGTTGTGCCTGAGGCTTGTCCGCCGCGGGGCTTCGTTYTTACAGTCTGGCGTTAGCGGGGCGGCCGCACACCCGTGTTTGTGTGCCTCCCAGACGCTGTTGATACTCCGCGGAAGTGCTGAGAGAATGCCGGTCGGTCGAGGCGTGTCTGTGTTGTTGCTCTCCTGAAGGAGTTGAAATACACGCTGCCTGTGTTTTTTGTCACGATATGTGGACTTGTTCAGCCTGTAGGATGGATAACAGGGAAGAAATGGCCGTTTCCACACCAGTCAGGATTCTCCCCCTCAKAAAATAGAAACTGAGGAGTATCAAAACTTCACTAAAGCCTCTCATATCCTCCAGTCACAGTGTGACCTGGTTTTTCACAAATGAAAATGTCTCTATTGGATTTATGCTTCAAAGAGAACCATAGCCCCGAGGAGGATTCTTTCTTTTAGGCACTTTCTGTCAGCCACACCAGGATGTAAAAAAATAACTGTCAGGTGAAAATACTGAAGATTGGATGCAAATGTCGTTAAGAGGAATTATGAGCTGTTCCAGGAGGAACTACGGTAACTGAAATAGTTTTTAACTGACTGTGTCACGGGTCATCTGTTTCAGTCCAGTCAGTCGGGGTGTTGCTTCCATTCACGTATCGTCTCCTGCTGCTGGAAGTAAGAAAAAAAAAATCCTCACATCTACTGGTTAAAAACAATGGAAAAGGCCCACTGTTCTGAAAAATTAGCTGTTTTTCTWGACCACGCCAGAACTCTGCGTTCTCATTGTAACCACTCGGCCCAAACAATAACAATTCTCGCTCTGATCACCATTAAATCTGAAATATATTCTGCTGATTAAATCGGCCTCATTGTGAACATGTGTGTTAAACTGTCACGAWATGAGAATGACCTATATGACTAGCCTTCAGACCGCGTGTAGGCCCTCTTCCTTTTATAAATACGTAGTTCCTTTTTAAAGCTTTTGAGTGAAATTAGCCACAAAGTAGCAAATAAAACAACATTTTGAGGAAGTGATTGAAAAGGAGAAAGTGACACTTCTGCCTCAGCTGCTACACAAATAAACAGTTTGTTTGATCAAAAAGATAAAGAATAAAAATGTCTTTTTTTCTGTCCTTTCAGACACCTCTTCTTCATGCATGTGAAGGAGGACCTCCACCACGGTCATCTCCACATGGGCTCAGAGCAAGCGGAGGAGCTGAGTGCTCTCCTGGCTCAGGCAGAGTTTGGAGACTACAACCAAAACACGGCCCAGTACTGGTATTCAGAGCTGTGTGGAGAGGAGCCCAGCACAGACACCCTCAACAGGTACAACTGAACACGCTTCACTGGCTCATTAAATGAAATAAACTCTAAAAGTGTAGGGCCCTATAAAATCCATTTTATTTTATCCCAAATTCCTAAGGTTTTCTATTTTTATTTTTCTAAATTCCACTTTTTTCATTTTTTCCCCCTGAATTCCACATTTTCATTGTAACCATATTTATTTACCTAAAAAGTGTTTCATTATAAAGCAACACTTTCACTAATATAACAAGCAGCTGTGGTTCAGTAGAACATTAAATTCTTTTTGAAAGSTGTTTAAAATTATTTACTAAGAAAAAATCATTTATGTGTAAAACAGAATCTCGCATAATAAAGTTATGTTTTGTAAAATAAATGTTTTCGAATTTAACTTATTAAATATGACATAAAGAAACATAAAACCTACACTTGCCATCTAAGCTCATTTACTTCTGTAATGGACGCACACACACGCACACTGTTTACAGTGCTTTATCAAAAAAACGGAAAAAGCTTTTTCATTTTTTCTAAAGGAATATCAGATTCTGCACACACAACATCATGGATGAACTCCCAGTCAGACTCCCACCTTTGTGTTGAGGAGTTTGCAGCGGGTCTTTCAGCTGCTCACTCAAACAGGAAGTGGTCTTCACAGCGTCCAGCCCATCGTATGCCAAAAAAACTCGCAGAAAAGTTCTTCTACAGATAAATAAATAACTGCTGGGACATTTTCTGTCCTAAACTTTATGCTAGCTTCATATTTTTGGAGGACATTAGTTTTAGCAAGTTTGTTGTTCGCTGTGCGGGTCGCGGCTTTTTTTTTTTTCTTTTTCCAGTCAGAGCTCACCCCGCGTACCTGTTACCAGGTAACGGCAGGTACAGTGAGCAGCAGTGGCCAAAATACCTCAGAAACTCGCCCAAATAATCGAATTCCGTGAGATTCTGCRTTTTACACCAAATTCCATTTTGTTTGGTCATTTCCGCGATTCCGTCGGCGTTTTCCGCATCGCAGAAATGATAGGGATCTTTAAAAGCCACGAGCAGCCAAAACAGCAGCTGTCTGGACATCAGATCAGCTTCCCACTCTACAGCTTCCTCCCTACACAAATGAACCATAACAGATGCACTGATGCAAATATTCTCCCTTTTTTATTCCTGGTATCAGTCCACACCACTTCCTGTTTCTAGAYTTCAGTGTCTTTCACTTCTGAAGCACTGCTCTGAACAGCTGCTCTGCACATGGCATCATTTCCTACACGCTTAAACAACTTACACCTCCAGCCTCATCTGTGAAATGTTACATTTGACTCCTTGTTCYGCTTTGAGCCAACAGTATGGCTTTCATATCTTGTGGATCAATAAATCATAATTTCTGCAGAATCTACAAACTATAGATCTGCATTAAAGTATTAATCTCARACAGTCCATTAGGCTTTAGCTAACTTTGGCTGTGTTTCCTCCTGCAGTATCATTTCCCGACACAAAGCTCTGGAAGGTGTGAGCCAGGCCTCGGTGGAGTACCAGGCCCTGCAGCTGGTCTCGTCTCTGGAGCATTACGGCGTGGAGTGGCACTGGGCCCGCGACGCCGGCGGCCAGCGGCTGGCCATCGGGGTCGGCCCCGAGGGCATCGCCGTCTGCAAGGAGGACTTCACTTTAGTCAACAGGTGGGTTTTCCCACGGCCAGCAAGGACTGATGAGATGTTTGCTTCTGAGGAACTGCACGTGACGGGTTTGTTTTCTTTCAGAATAAGCTATCCCATCATCCAGATTGCCACCCAGTCAGGAAAAAGTGTCTATCTGACGGTGACCAAGGACACGAACGACAGCGTGGTGCTTTTGTTCAAGCTGATCAGTAACCGGGCAGCGAGTGGTCTGTACCGAGCCATCACAGAGACCCACGCTTTCTACAGGTGACATGAACTACAAGATGATTGTTGGACTTTGAGCCAAGAAAACACAAAACAACCCTTTAACCTGTTTTACACAGATGTTTGTCAGCGATCTGTTAGTCTTTAACCCATATGTCTCCTACTCAAGATTAATAAATGAGACGTGAGGAAAAACACGCTCTGCTCTATTTAGATTTCTTTACTCATTAACTTGTAACAGTAAAACTCATCCTGACCTGAAGGGAAGAAAAGAAAGATTTAACCTGCTATAAAAGTCACTTTCTTCTACCATGATGATGTTTTGGTGTTAAATGTTTATTGGGAGTAGTAATCCGGTTGCTGTCGTTCCCAGGTGTGACACAGTTACCAACGCAGTGATGATGCAGTACAGCAGAGACTTTAAAGGCCACCTGGCTTCCCTTTTCCTCAACGAAAACATCAACGTGGGCAAAAAGTACGTCTTCGACATCAGGCGCACCTCCAAGGAAGTGTACGACCACGCTCGCCGTGCGCTGTACAACGCCGGCGTGGCGGACCTGGCRCGGCGCTCGGAAAGCGGGGAGCGTTCGCCGCCGCGCTCGCCGAGCCGGGACGAGCGGCCCGACAAGGAGGAGCTGGACTGCAGCAGCTGCCAGCAGAGCCGGGCCCTGCAGGAGCGGCTGCAGAAGCTCCGAGAGGCTCTGCTGTGCATGCTGTGCTGCGAGGAGGAGATCGACGCCGCGTTCTGCCCCTGCGGTCACATGGTGTGCTGCCAGAGCTGCGCCAACCAGCTGCAGGTGAGGGCGGGGCTTAAAGGAAACAGCCGGAGTCCTAGCTTCGGCTGCTTGTGTGTCTGAAAGTGACTGAAAGTACATTAGGCCTCAATCCAAGAGCTTTAAATTCAGTTTGGCTCTTTGAGCTCTAAATTCACGACACGTTCTCTGACTGTGAGTTTGCAATTTTACTGATAGAATCTAATTATACGTTAGTTTCATTATCTTATCCTTTTATGACCCTTTAAATATCTAAAGCCTTGCTTAAACCCTAATGACCCGACTGTCCCCGCACTTAATCAGCTAAATGTTGCTTCTTTGTGGAAGCAGCTTGTGTGTGTGTGTGTGTGTTTGTCACATAAAGGGATTACAGCAGCCAGGCAAATCTCCTGTCCATTAGCTCAACTAAATGTGGCCCATCTTGTAGAAGGAAAGTGTTTTCATCTGTAAAAACTAATGGAAGCTGGTTTAATATAGTGTCACTTTATTTTAAATTGTTCTTGATCAATCTTTAGAGTTGACTTTAATGTTTTTAATGCAGCAATTTCTTTAAAATTAAAGTATTTTAAAAAAAGTTCTGAAAACTAATTAAAAACTAAATATTTAGTGATTAAAGCTGATGTTTTTCCCGCTCCTCCTCTCCCTCAGCTGTGTCCGGTGTGTCGGTCGGACGTGGAGCACGTGCAGCACGTCTACCTGCCCACCTGCACCAGCCTCCTGAACCTGACGCTGAACGACAACCACCAGCTCCACGGCAGCATCCCCACCCCCATCCGCAGAGACACGGCCTCTCCTCACAGCTGCTCCGACTACGAACACAAGCTCTACCACACATAAACACACCAAACTCCACTCCCAACATCATGAAGCTGCTTGAGATTTAACTCACAAACTCCTCTTTTTTTTATACAAACTCCTAACTTCGTTTCCACTCAGCTTTGTGTTTTCCAACTGTCAGTTTCTCGTTTGTTCATATCTGCTAGATTTATTTTGTTGTTTTTAGGTTTTACTCTTTAATATTATTGTTAAATTATTGCATCAGTTGACCTGATCGAGAATTATGCTTTTGAATTTGTTTTTGGTTGCTTTCATCCCTTCTTTGCTCCTAGAACACAAACCACAAAAGGATCGTGTGTTAGAATAGCTGAGCTCTGCACATGTTGATTGAAGGCATTATTTTTAAGTTTTTGACTTTTAAAAATGTTTTGTTGTGAATTGAACGTTATGATGTAGGAGAGTGGGATGCTTGTTTTTTTTTTTATTTGAGTGTGTTTTTATTCACGTTTCATGTCTTTCCATGCCAATGAGGGGAGTATTTCGAGGTTCAGCAGTCCTGCTTTTGAATATAGCACTGGATTATAATCTGATACAAGAAGCTCAGACTCTTGTAAAAACACTCCTAAAATCACTAGAACTCCAAAGCAGGTCTTGAACATTGTCCAACATTTAGACCGTGTGTTTCTACTTGTATTTATGTCCATTTGAACAAAAGTCAATGTGCAAACTCTTAGGTTTGACACATAACTGCAGCTGCTGCCTCTCATTACTTCATCTAGAACGTTCTTCTCTGGGGTTTTACTAGTTTGAAGCTCTTGGGTTTTATAAAGGGTACTAGATGTATAAGTGCAATACTTGCTTGCGTTTTTTTCTTCTGCCAAGCTTTTCATTCTCAGTTTTTATTTAAATTCAAAGACTTTATTTAATACAAAAAGGAGGAAAAAAATGTTGCCACTTTATTGTGGAAGTTTTCCACGTGTTTGTCAGAGGTTTGAATTTAATGTAGCAGAAATGTATTTTATTATTGCAAAATTTTCTCAGACTTTTTTGTGTTTTAGTTCTGGTAAAGATTAGTTTTTTTGTTTTTTTGTTTTCTTTAATGCTGACACATTTGAGCTCAGTCACTGCAGGGGAAAGACTTTTGTACAAGTAGCGGTTTGTTTCTGTTTTCTGAAGCAAATGCCACTATGCTGTGTTAAGTAACTCTTAGAATGAAAGCCTTTTTTATATACTCTGCTTTTAACTAAAAGTATTAATAAAGTTCTTTTTTTTACAAAAATACATCAAGGGATTTGAGTCTTCTGTTAGAATTCTGGATGGTTTGGATACGATTCTTATCAGATTTATCAGATTTCACGTTGTTTCAGTTCTTTACAAAGTGGAAAACTGTTCACAACATGAACAAGTTTCAGTCTGAGAGGCAGATATTCTGATCTGTAAAGTTCTGTGGATTATCCTGACACTACTCTGCTCCTTTGCAGCGCCACATGCACACCACACTGAAAGGTTGTCTGTCACTTCGAGCTGAAAGACAGCCTGTGGTTTAAAAAAAGAAAAAGGCTCTGTGTTGATTAGAATTGACAGGCATCAGTGGACTGTGCTGTAAATCCTGAAAGTCATTCTGGAGTTAAGTATAGAAGCCATTGATTGGTCTGAGCCCCTCTGTCTGACCTTCTGGATGAGGGTGCCTCTTCTTCCATCCATTCTTCTCTTATCTCTCCTCTCTCACACATGGCTGCCTCGGAACCAACTCCAAGGACGCTGAAGTCACTGGGGCAGATCTATCAGAAGTCCAAAACTTAACCACAGGATAAATACTGACTTCTTTTTTTTTTTTTTTTTTTTGCAGTAAAAGTATGTCGACATTTCTGGTCATATATGACTAACTGCTTCAGGATTCAGAGAAGCTCCAAACTAAAGCTGAGGTCATGAATCAGGAGCAACACAGGAAGATGATCTAATCTACAGCTGACAGGATGCAGTCTGACGCCACTAAACTGGTCCTCTAAATCTGTTTTTTGTTGGAAAATAGAAAATTTATAAAACAAGGATTCACACCCTTTCAGGACAGATCCAAATCTTTGCAATCACATGCAGAAAATCAAAACCTGTCCTGGAAACATCGGAGCACACAGCAGAATCCAGTGACAAAAACAACTTGAAACCTAATTTTAAGGATCTCTTACTGACAAACATGATCAGACCAGATTTAGGAGATTGTGGGGGAAATCAGGTTGTTTTTGTGCCTTCTCCCTGATGGAGCGGCGTTTCCTCCTCTTCCTCGTTACCTGAGGCCCCCCCCCAAAAAATACAGAAAGCTGATAAAACTTTTAACTTCTTATCATTTTAACTCGTGCCAAGAAAAAGAACATCAAAGATCCTCGCCCTCCCACCACCATGTGGTTTCCCCATCTGCTCGGCCCAGCGACGCACAGCCAAGCGAAACACAACTTGTCTGAATGTTTTTTTGGGGCCGAGAGTTCTCCTCCAGACGACACCGTCAGCTGGTGAGACGGCCCTGAGTCCGGCATGCATCTGTGCTCGCTGTGAAACGGGGACAGAACGTGGAAGTAGTAGCTTCCATGTTGCAGTTAATGACAGCAAGAATTAGTTTTTTTTAATGAGGAAATCTTTTCAGAGGGAAATGGCGCAGCTCTGTCCTTTACTGTGTCACTGAGGTTTGTATAGAGCAGCTGTGTTTGGTGTTTTTCATACTAGAGTATGCACCTCAGCAAAAAAAAAAAAAAAAAGTTGCAAAAATATGTGCCATGGGGTTCAGATAAGAATATTTTTGTCACATGATGTTAAAAAACAAATGGTTTAAAAAGCATTTTTATGACTTGTAGCTTTTAAAAACCAAAAGTATAGTTCAAACCCTTAAATGTGGGGTTCTATGAAGAGGTTGTGAGCAGTAAATATATTACCTGTTGTAGACAGGGGCAGACTGCAAGGCTACCAGGGACTTTCCCATTGGGTCAATGGGTTTGCAGGCTGATTAACTGTGTTGTGTTGTGAAAGGTGCTTTTAAAGAGTAACTTACCCCAAAATTAACTTTTTAGCTGATAAACTGCCTAGAATGTGTCTAAAATGTTATATAGTACTGTTTCTGTGCTGATTTTGATGTTTTTGTGCGTATTTGTTCAAATCTTTAATATTTGGTCTAAAAACATGTTTTTGCTGCTCATATGGGTAGAGCAGTGGTTCTGCAGGCTAATTTGCATATTGGTTAACGGCTCTCCACGGTGACGTGTCTTCTCCACGGTTTCGTCACAGCGGCTGTGTTCTGGTATAAAAGCCTCTCTCTAAGACACGCCCACACAGCAGGTCTTAATGCTCAGTTCTGATA